CCCAGCCTCGTACCCCACCGCTGCTGTGGAAGGTCACTGAACATCTTCTCCCTTTCAAAGACTGTGAACTCATTAACCCTAAGGTCCTACAGAGCTGAGGGACCTACTCACGCCCCTCTGGAGGGGAAATGCTGAGTGGGGACCACCCTGTTCCCCCAGCCCAGTCCCGTACCCCGCCGCTGCTGTGGAAGGTCACTGAACATTTTCTCCCTTTCAAAGACGTTAACTCGTTAACCCTAAGGTATAAAGACCTGACGACAGCAGCGAGTGTGTACCCCAAACAAGACCTGCCGTGAAGAGCACCACCGGAAGTACCCCAAGGCAGGCGTCCGCTGTGCAGACGTGCCTTGTCCTAAGGTGGATCTGTTCCCACTCATAGCGACGCGATGGGGTAGAGAAGGGCCCCGGGGCGTTGCCTAGGTCGTAATGTCACAGGCGCAGACGGCCAGGTCTTCGGTGCTGCTGGGTGGGTTCGGATGGCCCCTTTCCAGATAGCAGCCGATCACGTAACTGCTGTGCCACCGGCTCCTTCCCCAAATACAAGCTGTGGTTAGAAACCCAGACGCCTTTTCAAATGCGGGAATTGGAAACCACCTCGCCTCACAGCCTCCCATTCGGGCCCACCCAGGCAGTGTGGACACCAGGACGCAGAAAGGAGTCAAAGGCGCCCTTTGTCTTCAGTGCCGGAGACAGTGGACGAACAGCCCCTCAGAGACCTCCAGGGCTGCTCGCAGACAGCAAGGGTCCCTGTGGCTGGCCAGCCACAGTGTGTTCTGAGAACCCCACGGGCACCCGGCGGCCCTTGGGTGCCCCCACACCCCAGAGGACCCTCAGTGAACAGCCCTCTGTTTCCACAGCTGTACAGGGAGGAGCCCCAGCTGCTACAGGACACAGTTTAGTGTCGAACACTCCTCAAGCCAGGAGACCCGGCACCCATCAGCCCGATGCTCCCGTCCCCCTCCATCTGCCGGGAAAACCACGATTCCTTCAGAGCTGATGCGAGTCCAAAGCAGGCATTGAAAGTGCAGTGACTGCAGTGGCAGCAACACGGCTGGCTGGGCAGGGACAGGCCGGGCCACGTCCCCCGTGTGACAGCCAGCTTCAGCTAGTGGTGGTCTGGAGGGAATTTGGGCCAGATGTTCCCGTCCTCCGAGGTCGGCTGGAAGTGGAGATCCTCATTAAACTCTCCCAGTTTTAAAACGTTGGCCAAGAATCAAAAAAAGGTCCAAACACTGTGTGTGGCTGCCAGCAGCCATGGGGACATTGCAGGCTGCCTCTGAGGTAAGCCAGAGTGACCTGGGGGTGCAAATGGTGCTTCCCAGAGTGGACTTTTGGAAACAGCCAAAGCCATCAAGAGGTCACGTCCAGTGGGTGGTCGAGGGGATGCTGCTGCCAGGGCTGGACTTGGAAGTGGTGAGGTGGTGTCCGGTGTTGCCAGGCAACTTCCAGGAGGGTCTTGATGTGGACAGGCCAGGTGGTCTGCAGAGCCGGGTCCTGCCATCAGCACAGTGCCGTCCCTGTGGGTTTGTACTTGAACTCGCCCAAGGTCTCTGCTGGCCCCATCAGTTCTGCTTCTGAGCTTCAAGGCTTGGAAGTGGTGGGAGGTTCCAAGTCGCCCACGTCACTTGAGTTCTGGGATGCGTGGTGACCCTGTGGGCCCACCTCTGGCCGCCCTCGTCAGTCGCAGCTGCTTTTCCAGCCCTGGACATGGGGCCAGGGGCAGCCCTTGTCCATAAGCTCCTGGATCGCCAACTTCCCAGGCACAGCTCTGCGTTCACATGGGGCAGCATGACAGGAAGACTGCCAGACTCAGGCAGCTGCCCTAGGCCACAACTCTGCAAGGGCCCAGGACCAGCCTTATGGCCCCTGCCTGGGCCTTCCTAAAATGCAGAGCCCAGGGCCTCTGTCTAACATTGCTGTCTGGAGGCTTCCAACAGCTTTACTGAGATGTCCCGTCCCGTAAACTTCTCCCTCTCACAAGTGTCGAGTGGTGGTCCATCTGTTCACCACTGGTCCCCATTACGCACCTGGGGAGTGTTTAAACACCTACTTCCAGGCCTTTCGCCCCCCAATTCTACAGCACTGGGCCTAGGAGTCGGCTTCTTTATGCTGACCGGCCCAGGAGGCTCTGCTGAGCAGTGGGATAGGGGATTGGGGGCTAGAGCAGGGATCCTCCCCAGGGGTGACTGTGTCCCTCAGGGACACTGGGCACAGTCCAGGGACATGCTTGGCTGTCACAGCTGGCATCTGGCGGAGGCTAGGGATGCAGCTCCACACCCTGCGGTGCACAGGCCGCCCCCATCACAAGGAATGATCCGGAACAAAGTATCAATGGTGCAGAGGCTGAGAAACCCGGGTCTAGGGAACCAGAAGCCCCGGTGGCCCCAGAATCAGGCACAGTGGGACAGCAGGCCAGCACTCAGTCACGGTCTATGTGGCACGTTCTCAAGCTTTAAGTCTACCTGCGCCCCCTGGGGCTTGTGACAGAAGGTGGATTCTGACCCAGTAGCTCTGGGCTGGGTCCCGGGGATGTGCTGGTCATTGGCCACACTGAGCCACAAGGGTGTATTCCCTGTTGGTCCCAGGGCTGTCCGGAACCACACGCCGTCTGCCCTCGGATACAGCCACGGCCTGGCTCACCCCACACAGCTGGCAGTTTCTGGAGAATTCTCTTCCATCCAAAGCATGAAGCTGCAGAGGGAAGACTTGGGAGGGCCAAGACGTCCTCCCTTAGTCCCCTTCCACCGAAGTGGCCGCTAAATACAAGGCTGTCTGAAAGTCAGGTTCAAAGCCCATGCAGGTCTTTCGGGTGCAGGTGCCAGCTTGTGCGGGCCAACAGTTAGGCTTTGGTGTCAACCGAGGGGACAGTTGTCCAAGGTACACACCACCCAGGTTCTACTTGAGTGGAGATGGGGTGAGTGGGGACCTTGGACAAGGCTCCCAAGTTGGAGGAGAGACAACACAGGCAAGGGACCAAGCACCGAGGGAGCCACTTAATAAGGGAAGGACAAGAAGGGAAGGGCCCCAGGCCAAGGCTGCCTCAGGACCCGAGCGTGGGCAGCCATGGGCTGCACTCCGGCTCCTCCCTCCCGAGCTGGAGTGGGCGCTTGCCCAGGCCCAGCCCACGGGACCAGCGCATTATCCCCCCTCACCTGCTGGTCTCTGCGTGACCCAGTACCTGACTCCCAAGCCAGTGCTGGCCTGCCCTCTGCCCTCCCAGCCTGCCTCCTCCCCAGGGGAGACCCTGCCACCTCTAGCCACGTCTGCAGGAGGCTGGGCTCAGACCCTGGCCTGCAGCACAACCACTGGGGCCTGGAAACAAGCAGGCCCTTGTGAAACCTGGGTGCCTCTGGCCAGGGTCGGGCTACGTCCACAGGAGGCAGAGTGGGCAGACTGAGGCTGGGATCTGGGAACCTGTGCCAGCCACTGGCTCTCTGGGAAGGGCCGTGTTTTGGTTGCAGAGGCAGCGACAGACAGGGCAGCGTGGGGCAGGTGGGGCCGGGAGAAGGGCCTCTGTCCCGGACCTGGTCAGCCTCCCTAACCCGTGCGCGGAGCCAAAGGCAGCCCGGCCGAAGAGGCGCGGCAAGACCACAGAGCCTAACAGCGGTTCACGATTCTTTCTTCTCCTTTGTTAAAAGGGGAGAGGAAACGGCTAGGGGACCCCCGGGCTCTGGGGAGGCATGCAGGCAGCCCCAGCAGACAGGAGCTGGGGGATGGGTGGGAGAGTCCTGGAGTTTCCCACAATCCTCTGCAGGGAACAGCAGTGCGGTGGATAGAGGGGTGGGGGTGAGGCGGGGCCCTGGGGAGGGGCCAGGGGACGCGGTGTGGGGGGCTCACTCTAACATGCAAAGTCTAGCTGCCTGTGAGCAGGCTGCTTTTGGAAAAGTGATACACATATAAATACAGACGGCCACACGCACACACGCTGCCCGGCCCCGAGGTCCCAGGAACTCAGTCGGGGGCTGGCAGGTTCTCCGCTGCTGCCATTCTCTGCGGCACCCTGCACCCTGGGTCGGGTCAGGTCGGGCTGGGGTAGGGCGGAGGAGTCCTTTTGGAAAGGCTGTTTGGTCTCTGAGAAGTTCCGTACACCAGATGCCCTGACGGCTTTGCACCAGATCCAGGTGAGCGTGGGCTGCCCGCCGGCTTCCGGGATGCCATGTGCATGCGGCCCCCACCCGGCCAGAGTCTCTCCCATCCAGGGCTCCGGGAACGATGGGGTGCAGGAGGGAGGAAGGGGGCCTGCAGGGAAGTCCTCTCCCCCTCCACGGGGCTGTGGCCTCCGGGAGGGGGAGGGGCCTCCCTTATCTTTCTGCCTCCATGGCAGGGTGGGCCCTTGGTTCCGAGGCAGCCTGCTGCGGGGCCAGAGGCGGCCAGTCTGAAGCTGGGGAGGGGGGTGCCGGAGTCCACAGGGGCAGCTGCTGCGGCTGGTGATGCTGGGGGCCCCCTGGGGGCGAGGCCGCAGCCGGCCAGCTGGGCGCCGCGAAGTTCCCAGCGGCAGCAGTGTGGGGGAAGTGTGGTGGAGGTGACATGGCCACTGTGGCCATCGGACTGCCGCTGCCCCCACCGTGGAAGCTCTCAGAGGCCTTGAGACGCGAGAACATGGTGAGGGCGTCGGGGAAGTTGGGGGGAGTGGCAGGGGTGTTGGCGGGAGTGCACATCTGTGGGGGGAGAGAGAGAAGAGCAAGGGGTGAGGTTCCCCTTTCTGGGAGGCCCCAGGCCTCCACTGTCTCCTAACGAGGACCAAGCCCAGCCCATGGGAGGAAGTTTCTTGGCTCCCGGCCCCACAGATAGCCCCCCTGCCAGAGTGGAGCCCCCCCCCGGAGATGTGCCAACTTAGCCTGAGGTGCTGAGGGCCAGCAGGGTGAGCCACTCATTTCACAGCCAGCTCCAGGGAGGCCAGCACTTTGGTCCCAGGGAGTGGCAGACCAGGGCTGGACCCAGGTGCTCACCTCAGTCATCCCTGCTCTGAGGTCTCCGAGGAGCCCAAGGGGCCAGGCCCAGCAGCACCCTATCGCCTTCCCAGAGGGAGCTCGCCCACCATTCTGCCCCGTCCACTCCTCCCACCCAGAGCTGCAGTGCCACCCCAGAGGCTCGGGGTCACTTACCATCTGGTGGTGGTGGTGGCTGTAGGGGATGTTGGTCTCCTGGAAAAAGGCGCTGAGGGCCGTCTGCGGGAAGAAAGGCCCATGCTCACTCCCAGAACCCCTCCCGGGCCACTGTGGAATCGGGTCCCGAGAGTCGTGGCCCTCAGCCACGGTGGGAGGGGACTGGCCGAGGCAGTGCACTGGGACCCCACTGAGCCCCAAGCTTGGGAGGACTCTCGCTACACTGTGGCCACCCGCCTGCCAGGTGCCGCAAGTTTAGTCTTCCCTCACATGTATGTGGGGTCCTCAATCATCACTGTGATTTGGGGTCCAGGCAGCAACCCCCCACTGCCATCACACAGGGAAAGAAGGTGCTATGAAGGACTATGACTCGCCTGCCTGTGGCCTTGGGCCTCCTGAGTGGCGGTCAGACCCCGGCACTACAGCCCGGCAGGGGATGAGAGGCAAGCCCCTATTCCTCCAAACCCATGCTTCCTGGCCCCTCTCCTGGGCTGGCCTGGATGCCCAAGCCAGGGAGGGGGACCCGGCTCCAGCACCGCTCAGCTGACCCCTCCCATTTGGGCCTGATTCCCCACCCATGCCCCAGGGACACCAGGCGGCTTCCCGGTTCCCCTCCCAAGATGCACACCCGTGTCCCAGCTTGGACGCCCAGAGCCGAAGCACACGGTCTGGACTTTACACTTGCTCACTTGTCCTTCCAGGTCTCCTCCTAGGCGGCGGAGCAGGGCAATGGCACAGTCACATGTCCCTGCAGGGCTGAGCCGCCGTGGAGTTTACGATAGGTGACCACAGACGACCATAAGCCCCAGCCACACCGGACACGGGATACCCTGCCTGTTCCCCTACACGTCACCGCACGTGAAACTCAGCCCCCGCAGGGCTCTCCAAGGCAGCCGCATCTGTCACCACCAACCCCAGGAGGCAGACGTGATGTTTCCTGTCACAATCTGGGAAGCGGAGGGAAAAAGTGACTTGCCCAAGGCCACTCACTGGCCAATAAGAAGTAGAGGTGAGCCCGAACCCAGGACTGACTCCTGGCCAGGCCTCGGGGCAGGCTAAGGGAGGGCAGGGAAGAGGCCGGCCAGCCATTCCGCGTCCTAGCTCAGGTGTGGGGTCCTGGGGAAATAGAGCAGGGGGGCTGGCCCCAAGGTGCCTCACGAGGGGCCCCTGGGGCAGCACTGAGTCCTGCTCAGCCGCCGCAGGAGGGGCGTCGGAGAGAAATAAGGGAAGCAGCTGCTCTTGCGAAAGTGCCTGGTGAGGGAGCTGTGAAGTGTGTGAAGGGTCTGCTGGGCCCACGCCAAGCCCCAGGGCCCAGCCCCACAGTCCGAGCTGCCAGTCCCACTACTCTGCCGGCCATCAGGCCCCAGCCCGCGCCCCAGCCACTCCTCCCCACCCAACACACCCTGACCCAGGGCTCCCAGGGCCTGTCCTTGGGGGTTTGGTTATTTTCTTCAAGTAAACGCCGAAGAATCACCCTGGGAACTTCCTGCTGGAGACGCCCTCCCGTGTGTCCCAGACGGGGGTACAGGAGCTCCAGGCTGCGAGAGCTGGTCCTGAAACCCTTCCCAATGACCCCCGGGCCCCCGGCTGCCCACTCACAGCCAGCCTCACTCCCAGGGGGACACCCAGACAGCCCGCCTCCCCCAGCAGCCCAAAGGCCCCAGTGCGTAGGGGTTCCCTGGGGAATTGTCCCCTTCCTCATGCCTGCCTCAAAACCCCAACCCTTAGAGCACAGGTCAGCCGGGTCCTGAGAGCTCTCCCCGCAGCCTCCTGCCCTGTCCGCCTGTCCCCGTTAGCACCTGAATCACAGAGGTGACCTAGAAACACTGCCTCCAGCTCGGTCTGCTGCCAGCCCCAGAGTGGACGGAGAGTGTGGGGGAGGGGCTGGCCAAGGGAACCCCCTGCTCACTCCCACCAGAGGCCTGCAATTTGGGGGTTCACAGCTCACTTTTACCTTATGGAAGCCTCCCAAGTCCCATGTTTTAAAGACGGGGAAACATGCTCAGGGAGCTCCTGGGGCTGGTGGGGCACCGGCCTTTCAGACAGTGTTCCCCAAGTTCAGCCCCCTGACCACATCACCAGTTCCTGGGACTGCCCAGCACCCACCTGTGACCTGGGAGCCCATCTTGTGCCCAGCCGTGTGGGCGGGGCTGGTCCCGCAGGCAGGTGTCCACCTCACTACCTCCAGCAGGAACAGAGCCAGTATGGCATACAAGCAGCCATGGGCATGGTCTTGCCACGTGCGACCATTCATTGGGGGAGTCAGAGGAGAAGTGGGAAGCCAGGAGCTGCCTGGAGAGGGGCTCCTGGCCTGGGGCCTGGGGCCTGGGGCAGTCAGCTGGCCACTCACTCCTTAGAGACCTGTCACATCCCCCAGATACAGATGTGGAACCGGAAGCAAGAGTAAGAAAGGGACCTGCCCGGAGACAGGCTTTGTTTCTGGGTGGGAGGGCACACGCTCAATGGTCCCAGATCTGGAAGGGAGAGGGAAGAATGGTCTAACCATTGTCTTCCCAGTCTGTCCAGACCTTCAGGCAGGAAATTGCATTTTGTTCCAGCTCCAAGAAGTGAACCAGGGTCCCTGGCTCCAGGTGCCTCCTGCACCTAAGGAAGTTGGCCTTTCCAGGCCAAACGTCTTCTCTGGGGTGGGGCTGTGGGTTTTCAGGGCCCCTGGGAAGGGGCAGTGTCCAAGAGGCTCTGGCTTCACCCCTGCATACTACCGTGGGGTTACTTCTAGGGCCTTTGGGTTAGGGAAAGTCAGGAGACCTCTGGGCAGCACAAGTTGTGGGCACTCGCACCCCAAGGCCTGGCAGCGGTCTCGGGGTGGGGTGGAGCCAGACTTGGGGGAGCCAGCCCCACCTCCTACCCAGCTGGCTTGAAAGCTGCCCACCCTTGTACACCACCCAGGGACACCCCTGCCGGCACTCGACTCCCAGGGAGGGCACATAGGCACGCAGGCTCCCCCAGGCACCCGGTCACTGGGGCGTGAGGCTCCAGCACACCCCGCACCCTCGGCGCTGTGTGGACACATGTCCAGCGTAGTGGGCACGGCCACAACCGCAGACCCAGCCGCGACACCCGCGTACACACCGAGTGCATACCGCACCTCCGGGCCCACTGCGTGTTTACACACATGCCGGCGTCCCCCACCCCCACCGCCCGACACCAGCACACGGGCGTGTGGCGCGCTGCGTAAACACAAGTACACATGTTCGTACGCACACGCCGGTACACGGACGCGCGGACCACGCACGGCGCGGCTCTGCCCGCGGGCCCAGGGCTCGTCCTTCACCCGCCCCGCAGCTCTCGGGCGGGGGACGCGGCCCCGCTCGACCGAGGCCTGGGGCAGCCTCCTTCCGGCCGCCAGCCGACCGTCCGGCCTGGCCATCGCCCCGCCCTCCCTCCCGCGACCCGGCCGTTACCCGAACAAAATGGAGGGGTCCCCCGATGCCGCCCGTTCGGGGTCATGCGGGCGACTTCCCAGAGCCCCAGTAGGGGGAGTCTCCCGTGTGGTTCACCCTCGCGGCGGCGTTTCCGGGGGAGGCGGCGGCCGCGTCGCAGCGTCCCTGCGAGGTCCGGGCCC